ATGCAAGAGCACTCTCGGCAAAGACGAATACTACCACGAACTTGGAGATATGTGCAACAGCACGAGAATCCACGTTCGGGGCATAACGGAAATCGTCGTTAAAAACGAGACACAGGCCTTGGAGGTTCGACCCACCCAACCTGTTGCCCGTCACAACGACCATTAACTCTCGAGGTCCTCCAAGACGGATGTAAGATGCTGCACTTTCGTCAAACGGAGTGCAATGAGTCATCGAGTCGATCACATGCAGTGTTTACCATCAATTACACCAGTTGTGCCGGGCGTCGCTCTAAGCTGGTCTTGATTGATCTAGCAGGGAGTGAGAACGTCAAGAGGAGCAAGGTGACGGGCTGACTTGCACGCTGGTGGTCTCGTGTCACACCAGGTGAACAGAGACGGTGTGAAGGAGGCCGGAGAGATCAACTCCAGTTTGTCTGTGCTGGGCCGTGTTGTTGAAGCCTTGAACAGTGGCAGCTCGCATATCCCTTACAGGGAGTCTCTATTGACCCGTCTCCTCCAGGATTCTCTGGGGGGCAGTTGCAAAACTTGTATGATAGCAACCATTAATCCCGAACGAAGGTGAACTCTCTCGAAATCAAAGAACTGATCTGAACAACGTGAATTCACACAGCTAATTTTATGTCGGGTAGTTATCGGTATTGCCAGTAATCAGTAGTGCAAGTTCTCTGGTGTATTATCTATGGTCTTATGATAGGAAAGAAAGTGAATACCGGCAGACTATGAATACACTACAGTTCGCGCAGCGCATGAGCAAGGTCGTGAATCGCCCAAAAGTTGTCGCCATCGATAACGTTGATAAGCGGGGCAGCGTGAGCTCTCCTGTAGGTCTAGGCTAATGGTCGCAGCTGCTTCCCGTAGTAGCTCGTCAGTCATGTGCATGCGTGGATGCATATAGATGCGGAATGGGACGAGTGTTTGTATTCCTCAGCGAGCAATTCTCAGGGTTTCAACCGACGAGAATTAGAGGAAACGATGACTCGCACGATGGAAGAGTTCAAATCCGAGT